TGATTCTATGATTTTTTAACTGCAGCCTGTAGGTATGAAGTCTGCTGTTATTTCAGTGAGCTGATGGTAACTTCATTGCTGTGCTGTTTCCTTTATGCATGGTTATTTTACCTGTACTGCCTCATCTGTAGCATCAATGTGTTTACTTTAAAGGGTTGCTATTATACTTCGTTTCTGTCTGTATTTCTTTTTGTTTGCAGCTGAAGAAGTTCATAAGAACTCCAGAGATCCCTTCAAAGCACGTGAGAAACTGGGTCCCCAAGGTTCTGGAGCAGCGACGGCGAGGCTTGGAGTTGTACTTGCAGGTGAGTCTTCTCAGCACTGTGAAAGTTAAAAGCAGCATCCATTTTCAGAGCGGCAGTATCCAACGCATTTGAGCATACAGCAGGTATGAAGTGGGGTGTTTTTTTTACTGATAGTCAATTTTAGAGATGGGAAATGATCTGGATACTTACCAGCAGTGGTGATTTCTGTTCACTTAGCAACACTAGAAACTAGAAATCCAGACTGTTCTGCATTTTTTTCCTGATTCTGACTTCGGTGAACCTACTAGTACCTCATTTTTCTGTGCCTAAAATGGGGAAAATAAAGTTATTCTTTCCAAAGTTGTTCTGACTGTAACAATCAAAAGTGTTGCAGAAGAGGTCCAAGGAGGCTTTATTTAACTCACCCCCATTTAGACAGACTAGGGAAGAATCAGTTCATCAGATTCATATCCCTCTCCTGTACATGCCTGTGTCTGAATTGTTCATGTAGTTGAAATATGCACCTGTTATCCTGTATTCATCTCAGTCGGTTTGAAAATTTGCATTTGAAGTCCCAGACTTTACCTATTTGGAATCTGGTTTTGCTACAGACTGTAGCAAAGGAGTCTTCAGGAGGTGTGGGTAAAGGACTAAAAGGAGTCTTCAGGAATGACTTGGACATATAGACATCTAAATATACTAGTGATAGATCTCAGCATTTTTTAATAAACAGAATTTCTACTGTCACCATGATTGCTTTAAAAAAGCTCTGTGCTGTCATGTCATTGCTGTTTCTCTGGTGACAGTGCCAGATTAAGGTGTTCCTCTAGACACGTTCCCAGTTCACTACACCTTCAGCTGTATTGATGCAGGTGCTCAGGAGATACAGGAGATCACAGAAATGATCTGAGTCAAATGATTATTGTTTTGGGAGGAGTGAGAGTATTCTATTTTTACTCAGGTCAGAGTAGTAAAAATTTCAGAGATCTGATTTATGTCATCATCCACAGTTGCAGTGGCACCATGGGAAGAGTGGTAAACTGCAGCATAATGGACAGTGAGCTGTATTCATAGAAAATAGATGGTAACCTGCACCACTCAGGAACCTCCCTGATTCACAGGAAGGTTTGTAAAAGAAAACCGCCTAAGGAGGAGAATAGAATTATAGTGTGACACAAGACAGTATTACTTCTAACATTAAACTTTTGAAAGGAAGTATGGAAATGAGGAGAAAAACATAGCTGAGATTTTTTTCTGAGATATAGGGAGCATTTCGGGCAGCATAGTTAATTCTTATTTTATATTTTTAAACATTTAGTATTGTTAAATTGAAAAATATAATCCTTTTTTCATTCTTGCTGTATGATATTTATAGCATCTTTGGCATCTAAAAATTACGTTTATTGTATAGGTTAAAAAATACTGCTGTTGGAGATACTTTGTTTTTGAAAAGGAATAAAGCCTTTTGGCTTTTGATGCTGTCAGCAGAGCTTGCTCCATCTTCAGTATGTTTTTCCCTTACAGTCATTTGCTGTTATTTTGTATTTTTTTCTGATTTTCATACACTAGCTTTTGGAGAATATCACTACTAAGGCACATACACTGATTTCTTATGTTGATTTTGTTAAATAGATACAGGGCTAAATTGATTACCACTGTTCAGTTGCTGATAAACTTTGACAGAACATCTCCCCCTACTGGAAGAGTTAGTCAGCTCTTGTTCTTGTATATTCTTGTACATTTAATGAACTTTTCCCATCTTCTATCACCATTTACCATTGTAGGAACGTGTAATGGTTTAGGTTGGAAGGGACTGCTGGATGTCATCTGATTAAAACGTAACAAGCCTCTAAGTTATATCCATACTAATGTGCATACTAAATTAAAACAAGAACAAAAATAATTAATATTCTTGTCAAAGTAATTAATTTCTGTTCTGCTAACAGAAAGCAGGACTACTCATCAGTGAAATTTTAACTTTTAAAATAATGAGAGCTTGATTTTAGACAATTAAAAGTTCATATTAAGGCACTTCAGTTATCAGAAGGTTTTTAACAGTGACAAGCATTTTCCAAGACAAAGTTAAATGCAGATAAAAACGATGATGTGAAATAAGAATAGCAGAATTGGTCTGTGTCAAGTAGTAAAGAAAGCAAGAAATTCCCGTGTCTGAGCCAGAAGGTGCTGCAGTTGCCAGTACCTTGTTACTTCTTTGTGACCCTTTCATGATGAAACCTTAAATCCTTTCAGCAAAGGTTGGTTGTTTCTTGGAGTGGATGGACAGGAGCTCAGAAACATGTCATTTTATCTTTCTCAAGAAGAGCAAAATTATGGATAAACCTAATATTATTAAATTGTGAGATACAAATAGTCATTTTCTTAAATTTATCAATATCCAGTCAGCTAATATTCATCAGATGACTCAACTTTTTGAAAGGTTAAGTGGGAATTTTTTTCTTGTTGTAATAGACCAATTTTCGTGGAATTGTGGAAGAATGATTTATCTATATTATTTTTAAGTGACTTTCATATTTTACAAGTTTGGCCAGAATTTACAACTTTCATTTGTAATACTGTGGAACAATTGACTAGTAAGCACTGGTATGTGTAGTAATTCAACTGCACGTATGATAATTATACAGAGCCCTTGTGAATACTGAGAACAATCAACTGACTGACAAGAAGAAAGAAGGATTATGTTTAATTTATTAATGAGGAAACAGATGCAAAGATAAGTGAATGGGAGAGTGTGGCCCCAAACATTCAAGCAAATTAGTATGAAGCAATAAGCTATTTTCCCTCTTCTGATCCATGGGAACTGTCTCTGTGCATGATCTTAACCTACAGCACACAAGACTTGAGCTGGTTTAGTCTTTGCTAAATAAGAAAATGCCTGTTACTGACAGTGGAAGCTCTAATTACCCTTGTGGTGGCTATCAACTAAGAGTTACCGTGATTCAGTTAGTGTTTAATATAAATTCTGACTTAATCGTTACTTATTTGTACATCTTGTAGCTTGTAATAAAGCAGAGATGATAATACCTGTGGTTTTGATTAAAAATTTGTAAAATCAATCCTTGGTTTACACTATTGCTGACAAAAATCTCTCCGTAGTATTAGATTGCGCCAGGATTTGAATTTAGCTATGATTTGCTTATGGTTACGAAATATCTTGACTTGATGTGTTTCCTGAACACAGTTTGGTGTTGAGAAGAGGTAAAAGATACAGATTTGACGTAGCTGATTGTGCAGGGAGACTCTAATTTGAGAAGGGCTGTCAACTGGAACTCCACTGAAAGTCTGTTACTCCTGATAGTATGTTTGTGAGCCTGGATAAATATGTTTGCTTGAAAATACCAGAAGGTAAAGATAAGTGTGGAAGACAATAGGGCAGACGGTTAATCAGCATTGTAGCTTCTGGGTGGTGGGTCGTTGTTTGTTTTTTTTAATCCACTGTATAATCTTGGACTGACCATTTATCACAGAGCAATACAGAAATATAGTCTGCTTTGGAAGTGTATTTAAAGGAGATATAGATCACTTGAAATGCTCCCTTTTGCACAATTATTGTTGTGTATGAGTTCTGTAAGTCATCTCGTGGATGGACCAACTGAACAGGTAGTTGGGGTTTTATTTTGGACATTGAAGACATTGTTGGGATTCCTAAGGGCAGCACTGAGGGACCTTATCTAATTGGTTATCGAAGCAGCTGCAGCTGTGTTGTCAATCTGATCAGTATTTGTTACAAATAGATTCTCTATGATGTACTCTTGGAGGAGCAGTTTTTATGGAGCTTATTTCCAGTGAATTAGTAATGGGGAAGAATTTGATCTAGCCACCTGCTCTCTACTGATTTGGAGTTAGGTCATATCCTTGTCCCAGTAAGCAGACACTGGATGTTATTGCCATCCAGTCTCTCTGCCCCAGGGACTTGCCCTTTGACAGATCTGCCTTTTAAAGTTCAATGGAATAGATATTTTCTAACCCCCTTGAGCAGAAGAAATCTTATCATCTGCTGATATCATCAGTCCAACAAGATAACAGGCATCGTTAACAGAATTCACTGTGAAGTGGCACCCGCATCTCAGCATGAGACTGTAGCTGCTGCTAGTCTTTACTGAATTACTTGGTTATGGAGAGAGATTTTGGAGGAGGCCCATATTTTTAATGAGCTTCAGAATACTAACTCGTTTCTTGTGGTCTGAGTGACCTGGAGAAATTCTTCCTGTGACTGGCAAGACTAATATAAAACAGGGGGCTGTAAACCTTCTGAACTTCTCTGTATGTATGTAGAGTCTATATGTACATGTGTCTCTAACCAGTGTTAATATGTAGAGCTAATATTTCTCTTTGGGCTGAGGTCAAGGAAACATACTTGCCTTTTATTTACTCTTGAACTTCTTACAAAGAGAACAGTCCTGATTCCTGGAGATAAGATTGGTTAAAGTGCTGCTTGGCTGTGAGACTTGAAGACTTGATGAACTTCAACATTCCAGCAGTTTCAGGAATCCAAATCTTCAAAATGAATTATGGAGTTTATGAAACTGGACTAGAGATTTGTTTTCCATTTAAGGAAATAATCTGGAGATCAGAGAAGCACTTTGACCTCTATTTCAGTATTCTTCAAAATGCAATTATCTTTAAAAATATTTTAACTATCAATCCTTCCTGAAAAAGCTAAATAAGACCTTCTCCATTATGGTTTTGCTCTTAAGAAAGTAGAATCCAATCCTGCATGCTTTAGCATGTTTCCAGCAGGGTGGAGGTAGGAAAACAGTGGATGGAGTGATGAACAATATGTAGTTGTTTTATGAGTAAGTCCATCATAAATATAAAGAAAAAAATCACCCATTATTATAGTGCAATTTTTTAACTCTTTTGGGGAACAGCTCAACAGCAACTGCAAAAAAATGAAGACAAGTGAGCTATTTCTTCAGTTAGTAACTGCCAAAGGAGAACTATCTTACAGAAAATTTGGCCCAAGGTGTCGTTTCTTCATGGACCATGGTGACTTTCTTTAATTACTTCAGTAATTGTTGATACTAAATTCCTTGTGGCAA